TGGCCTGGCTGGTCTTAAACTCTTGGCCTCAAATGATCCACCCACCTCAGCCTCCCAAAGTGCTGGGATTACAGGCATGAGCCACCATGCCCAGCTAGATGTTTTCCTATTACATGTTGGCATCCATTATATTCAGATTGCAGAACTCTGTTTAGCATTTCTTATAAAACAGGTATGGTGTTGATTAATTCCTCAGCTTTTGTTTGTATGTTTGTGTTTCTTCTCCTTTGTATTTTAAGGATAGTTTTGCTGGGTAGGGTATTCTTGGTTGACATTTTCTTCAGCACTTTGAATATAACATCACACCCTTTCCTGGCCTGTAGGGTTTCCACTGAGAAGTCTGCTGAAAGCTGTATTGGATGTGATATTTTTCTTTTGTCTTGCTGATTAGAGTTTTTCTCTCTTTGTCTTTGATTTCTGCTAATTTGATTATGATGCTCCTTGGGGGATAATTCCTCTTTCATTTGAATTTGATTGGTGACTTCTGAGCTCCTGTACCTGGATGCTGTTCGTCTTTCTAAATTTGGGAAATTTTCAGCCATTTGTTCTTTAAATATACTTTCTAGGCCTTTTTTTTCCTTATCTGCTTTGGGAATTCCAATTACATGGAGGTTAGTACACTTGATGGTGTAGCATAATTTTTGTAGGCCTTCTTCACTATTTTCATTCTCTTTTCTGTTTACTACTCTGACTGGATAATTTCATATGTTCTGGCTTGAAGCTTACTAATTATTTCCTGTTTAATCAAGTCTGCCGTTAAAGCTTTCTCAGGAGTTTTTCAGTTCAGTTATTGTATTCTTAAGTTTTAGGATATCTCTTTGATTTCTTTTAATTTTTTTCTATTTCTTTGTCATTGTCTCCTTTTGTTTCTGGATTGTTTTTCAAATTTCACTCCCATCCTGGGGAGGACTTACATTGAGCACCGGAACTAAACGAGTGTACTGGAACGGACTTGTTGCCCTGTTGTCATTTCCAGTCTCGTGAAGGCACAGTGAATATCAAAAATTAAATGATGTTCTAGAACTAAATTGCTGCCCTGCCATTGTTTCCTTGTCTGGGGAAGACTTATAGCAAATACCGGAGTTTAAATGCTGCCCTGAAACAACACTGCTGCCCTGCCATTGTTTTCCAGTCTGGGGAAGACTTAAAAGGGCACTGGAACTTAATCTCGACCTTTTAGTTGTTTCTGAGCTAGAGGAAGACTCCACTCACGCACCTGGGATTTGTGGAAAACCCAGCTGGGGATTTGGGCCTTCTTCTGGATTGTGCCCCTGAGGCACTATGGTCCTGGCCAGTCTGTTTAACTTGGTATCCCTACTGATCAGAGTGCTGAGATCAGCTTTCTGTGATGAACACCCTGGTCATTGTTTCCAACTCACCCCAAGTAGTTAAGCTTTCCTGACACTCCCAATGGTTCTGATCGAATAGGACCAGAATAGACTTCCCATGAAGATTCCTAGACCAGTGGGGAGATCGAATATTCACCTCCAGTTCCCTCCTTCACCAGCAACCATGGGTCTAGGGAAAATCTCTGTGAGTGGCACTATGCCAGCTTAGGGGAAGAGGTATAAAATGTAAAATGTGTAAAGTGACTGTTCATCCTACCTGTCACGGCTTCTCTCAATTCTGTGTGCCTAGGTGGCTTCTCTGCGTCTCCCCTGAGTTCTGGTATATTCATGGTGGTATTCTTGTCATTGAATGGTTTCTAATTGTATTTTTGTCAGGGGCGTGATGCTGGGGGATTGTCTATTCCACCATCTTGCTAATATCACTCTGAAACTCTATTTTTGAATAATTTTAGATCTATAGAAAAGTAGCAGAAATAATAGAGTTCTTTGATTTTTCACTCAGTGTCCCCAAATGTTAACATAGCACCATGGTATAGTTATCAACACCAAGGAACCAATATTGGGAAATTACTATTCAAGAAACTTCACACTTTTTTTTTGGATTTTATCAGTTTTCTCACTGATGTCTGTCCTAAGGTCTGATCGAGGATCCCACAGTGCATGTATTTCAACAGGCTTTTAGTAAATATTGGGATTCCAGGCTTTGCCTCTGGCTAGATACGAGAGTGCAAATCATCTGTGCCCCTCCACCTCCCCAGGCAGTCATGCTGTCCAATCTTGGGACATAGGGTAAAGTGAAGGGCCTCTTCAGGCAGGCAGGTAAGTCATCAGGCCACTCCATGGGCCCTGGGAGACCATGAGCACACAACCGGGCCCTTCTTCGGCAAGCAGCTCTGTGTTCTCAGTAGTAGGAATAAGTAGACATTGAGGCCTCAATAGTTGGCAAAAAGCAGAGCTTCCTGTGGGAAAAATACTTTGAATAAGGAAGAAAAAGGACATTTGTATTATATAAGTTTGGCTGTCTCTAATTTAAAGAAAGTTAAACTTTATTGCACAATGAGTACTAGTTCTTTCTTCTTCCTTCTCCTCCTCCTCCTTCTCCTATTCCTTTTCCTTTTTCTCCTGTCTCTTCCTCCTTCTCTTTGTCCTTTTCTCCTTCTCCTCCTCCTTCTCCTTCCCTTCTCCTTCTCTCCTCCTCCTTCTCTCTCTCTTTTCCCCTTTCTCTTCCTCCTTTTCATTCTTCCCCTTCTTCTTGTCCTTCGTTTCCTCCTCCTCCTCCTCTCAAATTTAGTTTTCCACGGAATCCCCTGTCCTTTGGACTTTTCTTTTTTCTTTTTCTTTTGCTTAGTATCTGTTCATTTCTCCCAGAATCATAGTTTGGAATTAATGTCCAAATAGTAGTTAATCAGATGATAGAGATTAAATTGAAGGGAGGACATACACTGGAATAGCAAAATATATTTGCAGTGAAACCCAATGAATAGAATACTTCATGTTAGGGTCAAGTATCGGAGGAAAAACAAATACTTTCATTAAAATCAAAGCTACTTTTCAGAATTTCATTATATTCTTTTAATGAGAAATGTATGTGTTGGTTGTCTTGCCGTCTTTGACTCTTAACATGTAACCAAGCAAAAAGTGCCTAAGAATGTGATGCTACATTGCCTTTAACTTAACTTCGTTAGTAGCAGAGGTTCCATGAGTTATGAGTACTCTGCTCTGTGAATGTGTCCATTTTTGAGGTGCCTTTGTGCAGTATTGATAGGAACCATGCCTGGGCTCCACTTACAGACTTCTGTTGGGGAACAGGATCTCACAAAGCAGAACAGAAGTTTGTGATAAGGAAGAGGACGAAGAGAGCAGGTCCTTGTGTTCTTCAGAAACAGTGAACATTATCCTACTGATTTTGGACAAAGGGAGTTCTCCAGTAGGAAGTGACACAGAACCTATCACAGTGCCTTTCCAATCCAGGTTTTTGGTAATGAGTGATGAATGAATCCCATGAGAGCAGAGCCCCGTGGAGCAGGTGGCAAATGTTGCTCTCTGACTCCAGTTCTCTGCTTAGGGATGCTAACATAGACTGCCTCAGATGCAGGCAGGGCTGCTTGTCCACACTGCTCAGGCGTGGCTTTGTATTAACATCTGTAGTGCCCTTTACTTGTGCAGTGAGATACCTAGGATATGCAACAGAATAGGTGCTGGAAGAGGTGTCCACTACAGTGTGGACAGACTCTTTGGATCTGTATTAATAACAGCCTCTCCCATGGATTAGCTAGTCCAGGCTTTGGTGCTTTATTTCCTCCCAGAATAACGGAGTGTGTACTCCTTAGCTATTTGTAGCACCAAGAAAATTAATCCAGATGTCATCTTTTTTTTTTTTTTCTTTTTCCTCTAGTGTGGCTGGATACTTGGCAGGGCACACAATCACATGGTCTTCAGATCTTCTAAAAGCTGATTTTCCTGGGCCTAATCCCATGAGAGTTGGAGACAGTCTATGATAATTACTGATTCAGCTCCTGCTGGTGTTGAACTTACTGAGAAACTTAAACAAGAATTAAAATACACACCCACACACCCCTCAGATGGAGCCAAACACTAAACCAGATTAGTCTTTTGTGGTTACCTTTTCTTTAGGATTAGGAGGATCAGAAAGCAAGAGCAGATTCTGAAACACTGTAACCCCATTCCCCACTGGGTCATAAGAGGCTGGTGCTCTTGAGGACGAAGGTTGGCAGCAGGTGCCAACTAGGTACTGGCTCGTGGTCCCAGCAGAGCTGGCCTGCCACAGCCCAAGCTTCTTGTTTTGGTTAAAAAATGGGTCTTTTGGCCTTTCATGCCTGGACATTCTCTGGGACTCAGATGTTTGTGAACCAGGCTCAAGGACTCTCAAGTTCAAGTCACTGGCAGATTGGAGAGAAGACCTAGAAGTTCTAAGTGTCTGAGAGGAGGGACGCAAAGCCTCATTCAGTGAGACTGCAAAGTCACCTGAATGGGAAAGCTTGCCCTATTGCTGGCCTCGGCAATGGCACCTTCAGGTTGTCTCCTGTACGGGTTGATGAGGGAGTGCAGGACCTCAGGTCTCTTAGTGTCAGCCTTGGCCACAGGTTTCGATGAAATTTAGTATGTTGGTTAGGAGCGTGCCAAAATCAGAGTAACTCCCCTCCCAAGGGGACGTTCAGTTTTCAGTTGTTAAAAATACACCCTGAGACAGAAATTTCAGGACACTTAAGTGACTTTGAAATCCATCCAAAGGTTACTCTGTTCCTTCACTCCACACATCTCAGGCATTTCTGTGTTGGTCTCAGCTGCCATGTCAATGGTTTATTCTTTTTACACGTTGGAGCAGATCTGGACCTCCCAAAACATTTTGGGGAGAAGCAGACTTAGAGGGGTTTTCCCTGCTCTGTGAGAGAAGGAATTTAGCAAGCATTAATTTTTCTAAGAAGGTGGCACAAGTTTTGATGTGATGTGCTGGAAAATAGTAATAGTCACAATTTATTGTATTCCCCCAAGAGAATGGGATGATGTTCCCATAGAATCTTGCTCTTCCTGTTAGCAATAACTTGTATTCTCTTTCTGATTCACACCAACAAGGATCAGAGGGTGTTGGTGGGGGAAATGATATGGTGAAATACAGTTCGTTTTTTGCAGGGATTCTGAATGTGTCGCTGGACTAAGATAGGAAGAATGTTTGCCTTGAGGCTGATGATAGTAACCACCCCACCCACCATCATCTATTAAGGATTTACTGTGTGGTCACTTTACAGTCATCCAAGTAAATTTCCATAATCACCTGATAAGATGGGTACCACTTTTCAGAAAAAGAAACATTTCTGGAAGGTAAGTAACGCAAATCATACAGCTGAGCCATCTGTCTGCATCTCGAGCATCGAGGCAGCATTTGGCCTCTGTGGGTGTTGTCAAATGTGCTGGTCTCTGTTAACTCAGGGTTTTGGATTAATTGGTGGAGCTGCTCATTTCCATAAAAACCCAGGATGCAGTCTGCAGCCTCTATTTAAAGTGAGGTCCTTGGACGAGCAGCCCGGCAGCACCCGGCAGCTTGTCAGCAGAACATCAGGCACTCCCTGGAGCTACAGCACCAGATCCCCAGGCAGGCGCACGTGCATCCAAGTTTGAGCCGCACTGCTTTCTGCTACTACGGAGGAATGTATCCTTTACTCTCTCCCTCCCCTTTGTCTCATCTTGTCCAGTAATTTTAAATTATTTAAAAGTTACAGAAAATCATAGTGTCTCAAAATGGCTTACCAAGAAACACTCAAAGCTGTAGGATCAGAAGCTTGACATGAAGGTTTCTGCACATCTTTGAATTGCTTTACAGAAAGAAGAATCCAGACATCTAAAAGATTACAATTTCAGAATTCATAGTAACATGGGGATCTTCTTGGTGTCAGAACTGAGTTCTTGCTGAGGTGTGCACTGGGCCGTGTCCCCCAGGCAGCTGCAGCACAACACGGAGTCCCCCTTGCTGTCTAAGCCTTGTTGTTGGAGGGGAAGGGTGAGGACCAAGCTGTCAACAATCCCAGGCCTGCCAAGCCCCATTTGTCTGTGTGCCTGCCAGGATTCTAAAACTGCAATTGGGAATTCTGACTTTCACTGAATGTGCAAATCTGTGTATATACAGCCTTGGTGAGCTGACCCCGTCAGGGATGACTGTGATAGACTTTCCCTTACAGGATTCAGAATCCATAGCTAGAAGAGGTAATAGGCCATTGGGAGGGCCTGCTTCTCCTCAGCCTGCCCCCACCCCGTGTGGGTCTCCATTCTGAAATTTCCATTTAGGTACTTCACAGTTCTGCAAGCTATGATAGGACTAGAAGTGAAAACATCGTTGGGGGGATTCAGAGGACATCAGGCTTTGTACTATGCTGTGGAACCTGGTGTACTTGGGCTTGTATAACTTTCTGGTCCCTCAAAAGAGGCAACATCAGAATATTGAAGAAAATGAGAGTCACTAAATATAGCTTGTCATTTCTGCCCACATTTTATTACTTGAGCCCATAGTTACCAGAATTATTCAGGGTGAGCTTCAGTTTTGGCAGGACAGCATTAACTTGCATCTGTGTTAGCAGTATTGCATCTTTGCACTCTGAAGCCAGACAGATCTGAGTTTGAATCCTTGTTTTAGCACTAGGCCCTTATTCCAAGCCTTTTTTATTTTTTAATTTCAGGCTTAGCATATTTTTAATGCTTACTTTCTGTCACTTAGAGGATGTCTAGCAGCACATAAAGGACACTGCATGCATACCCACCATGGCAGCTTTGTGTACCCAGCTGTCAGGTGGGACATGGAGCTCCTGCTGCCCAAATCTCCAGGCTGTTCGAGGTCTGAGCAAGGGCACACTTGGCCACAGACAGGAACAGGCAGTGCAAAGGATGAGGTGCTCCCTCCACACAACTGAAACGTGTCTTTCTCCAAGTCTCTCAGTTCTCTGGTGGCCTTATTAGTTTCAGAATAGTAAATGGCTAATGTATTTATTCATGATGGCCTCATTGGCTTTGGAAACGTACTTAATTTTCAAAAATTTGCTTTAATGCCTTCATTACTGCACTCCTCCAACGCTTTCTATGAATTATTTCAAAGGCAACTGGGCATAGAGCACAAGCCCACTTTTCTAGCTACAAAATGGACATGCCTAAAGTGTACACCCAGCTTGCATCACCTTCCAGTGCCCTGCCTGGAGATAGAACAAAAACTTAATCCCCAGGAGGCTTCTGAGGGGCTCCAGGGAGTCACAGGATTCCTTAAAGAGGGGAAAGGTCAGACCCTGATCCTGATGACACTGTCAAAAATTCTAGAACTTTCACAGTTTGAAATATTTTACATTTATACAAAATAGTCATGTATAAAATATTTTTTGTGCATTTTGCATTTTTAAAAAGGAAAGTGGTAATTTCAAATGCCTTCTGCTTACATGTCATGTAAATAGTTAGGAGCCCGTATTTTTTACAAAAACTATTTGTGGAGATTTTCATGACTGTATGGGTGTTTTCAGTTGGAGGACTTGCCAAACCTGTGTTTTGAGGCACACACATGATCTCTGCTTGGGAAAGTGGCCAGTGCCACTATGCGGTGCATTTATACGTGACTCTGATTTGGCGTGTGTGCTGTGTTGGTCACCACTTAAAAGTAGAGCCAGTGTGCACAATTTGAATATATAAAAATTTGAAAATATGTTTAGCCAGTCTACTCTTCAGTACATTTTAAGTGTCAAGTGGAAAAAAACAATAAAAGGAAATGAAGGAAGGAAAGGAAAGCACTTACCGAGTTCTGTCAAACACAAGAGCTTCAGAGGAAACACTGCTTCAAGACTGTAGTGTAGTGTGTCCCTCCTCATTGATTTAACTAAGTGGATACTAAAAAAGAGCATCACAGAGGCATTGATCTTGGTGCAGAAACCACCTCTCCCCACTAGGGGAAAACAAACGAGGAAGCAGTGTGGCAGGAAGACCCCTCTTGAGAGCAGAACAGAATTTAGACTACAGCCAGCTTTCACAAAGCTGTCAACAGTTTATGGTGTTCAGCTATAAATATACCACCAAAAGCATAAGGTGTTACTCTTAAGAAAATGGCATCTTCATCAGATTAAAAAGCTCTAAAACCAAAAATGATCCAAACTTAAAATTTTGATTTTCCTTAACTCTGTGATCCGTTCTGGACACAGGGCCCAATTCTGTCTCTTGAGAACTAGGCAGCCCCTGGGCAGAACTAGCTTAATTAGCACCATGGCCATCCCTTTATGCTGATAGTAAACCTAAATATTCACCTTAAAAGGAATTCTAAGCTCAACCACATTTACAAATGCTCAGCCCTCGGGGTTCCAAGACTGCTGGTCTTGGGACAGCTTAGTGTGACATTTATGACACCGCACAGCTTTGAGGCATTTGTCCTTGGCTGGAAATGTCACACCTGGGAGCAGGCACACCCTGCAAGAGGCTATTCCCTTGCCACCCAAACAATGAATTAGGATGAGACAAAGCAAAAATAACACTGTTACGGAGACATCACTGATCCCTGCAATGAATAATAATCTTTTGACGACTTTGAACTGGTAGGCAAATGGAAGAAATCTTAAGAGCTGACAACATCCTAGCTGGTAATTAAAAAAATAATTAGTATTCCAGTTTGAAATTTGATTTGGTCTTTCACGGAAATTTTCCCTCATCTGGAGGTCACCAAATTGTACTAGCTTTTTTTTTTTTAAAAGCAGCACAGGACAAACTTCTACCATCTTGAAAAACTTCTAAGCTAGCCCTTATCCAAAATCTTGCACCTACAAGTCTTAGAACGTGAAATCTGAACTAAAGGATTCAAAGATAAAACGTAATGATATCATACTTAATATAAACATCTATTTCAATGTTTACTCCAGACTGAACAAAAGTGCTTATGAAAATTATAAGTCTGCCATCTTTAATTCTTAAGTTTAGACTTACGAAATAACTCTTGACATTTATTTTGTTGGTATGTGCTAATAAACACACATTTCTAAGACAGCAAAGGAAAAACCCCAGTCCAGAGCATTCTGTCTGTGTGAAGCCAATTAAGACACCGCTTCTAGTGCCTTGAGATTCCGGGCTGCTGAAATGGTTGTTGGGGAACGTATCTCCCTTGGCAGAGCCAGAAACCACTGACTAACATGTCTTCAAATAAGATCTACTGTGAGAAGGGCTTCCCCTCATTTCATCTGGGCTCCATTCCATGAAGATATAAGTTAGTGGAAATGACCAAGGAAAACACAACATCCCATACACAATTTATTTTATATAACTTGGTGTTTTCTTTTATTGAATCATACAAATTCAAATGGGGATTCCTGAATAAATCTTTTGTTAATTTACCTTTGGCAGAAACAACAGATTCCAAAAACAATTAGTAGCATCTCATTTATTTGTAGCGTAAAAAAAAAATTCTGTAGCATATTTTCCAAAAACATAGTCTTAAACAAATGTGCTTTAAAAGCTAACTGGTAATGATCTGATTACTATCATAGCTTATTTAAGAGAGCTGTTACTTAAAGGACAGACTAGACATGTTTTTTTAAAAAAAACACAATTTTTGGTCATGTGAATGATTCATGTTCAGATTTCAAAAATAGGAAACATCCTAAAGTGCATCATTTTATTTATAATCTCACTCCTTGAAATTATAGCAATCTGCAATGTAAACAGTAGAGCAAAGAATTCCAAACTATATTTTTATGTACATTTAAACCTGTAGGATTATGTACCGTCTTTGAGTGTGGATTAAAACCAGGGCACTTCCAACACATAGCTCAAGCTTCCATACGATTAAGAGCAAACTTAAAGGCATTCTTTTTCCCCATCCTTGACTTAACATGCAGCTGACAGAGGAGAGCTGCTACCTCACTTCAGCAATGGAAAATGTTGCTGTCAATCCCATTAGACCAGCCAGTTTCTCACGACCCTTTAAAACTGAAAACTGGTCAGTATAGCTTTACATTCTTTTTCTTTTCCTTAAAACTGTGCCCTTTAAGAAGGCAACTTTCAAAACATACAGGAGGGTGGCTCTGCTATGTGTTCATCCTGTAACACTTGTCGTCAAAGGCAGAGCTCCTGAAGCACCTTCTCTGGTCAGCCATGGCGGGCGGGCAGACGCCTGGGCTCGGCCTCGCAGAGCACAAAGGTGGACCCAGAACCCACTGTCCTCAGCGCAGGCGCAGGAGTTAAAGTAACAACACATCACAAGGTGACATCAAGCACACTGAAGAGATGGATGATTTGGTGTCTTACATTTCCTGGTCCCTCCAAAATGTCTAATATAGACAGCTTTGTGACAGTCTTTGAAAAAAATTATAATTGGCCAGACAGAATGACATTTTTTTCTTTTTATACACGATCTCGAAAATAGTGTCATTTAGATTCTGCCTTGGGCTGAGCTCTGAGGGCTACATTTACCCGTCAGTTTGGGTATTTTAGTGCAGATATTTTTTTAAAAATTAAACTCTGGTAAGTACTCAGGAGGCTGGGAACACAGGCCCCTTCTCTCCCCTGATCCTCTGTATGCAGGCTAGGACTTAAGCAAGCCCCTTTATGTTTGGCTAGTGCCACAACAAAACAGCCCCAAACAGGTTGCCATAAGCATGCTGGCCTGGCTTGGTATTTGATGATAAAATCTGAGACTGGTAAGTGCAGTCAGTGTTCAGGAAAGAATCTCCAGGCTCTTCTCCCATCAGCTGGTTTTAAAATCAGCCTTCATACAGCTGCTTACCATCTCTCTGTCCTCTGCAGATGACCCGGTCCTAGGCAGGGACCAAAATTCCTTGTCAGCTGAGGAAGTCCTGAAGAAACACCCTGAAGATGATGACTGCACTGCCATTGTGGGCAGATGCACCTTCCATCTACCTGAGGGCTGAAGGGGAAACCCTTTCACACACGTGAGGAAGGCGCAGCTCTGTGGAAAGGTCACCAGAATGGCAGCGGCAGCAAATAGGGCTCCAATGCACGTTTGCACTTAACTGGGTCCAGGGAGAGCACGGCCCTCCACAGCAAGTTTGCTCTATAGAATAAAGTCCTGAGCTTGTTTTTATCACAGTTAGACAGAGAATGGTCTCATGTTTCTCAGTTATCCGGGGAAGACCAGTGTATATTCTCTGTAGATGAGTGTTGTCTAATGTAGTGATTCATCTCTGCTAGTGTTAGGAAAGCTCCACTACTGTGTGTGTGTATGTGTGTGTGTCTGTGCACAGGCGCATGTGCACACACTGCAATCTTGACTTTCCAATTACAAAATGCCTAAGTCAGGTCACATTGTCTTCTTCCAGCCAGTTTCTAAGGCAGGCAATGGAAACAGGAGCCGATGCCAAATGGTCTAGAGGCAGAAGGGCCGCATGCTTTGCAGGGCCAGCTCCAAGGCTGCCTTCCAGAGCTGCTCTTTCTCAGGGGAGAGTAAACTCTCACTGCAGCTGCCAGCCCCCTGTGCTCGGGCGGGGGTCGCCCCTCACATGGACTTAGAATCCGTGTCTCTCTTGCTGATGAGCACCTCCAGGAGCCTCAGTTTTGCCTTTATGTGCTTGTATTCACTGTATTCTTCAGCCATAGGAGTGCGGTCTTCCTTCTGGACATTTCTAATGCAAATAAAGGAAAAAAGGGTCTGAGGATCATTTCCTGTCTTTGTTAGATACTATTCATCGGGCAAATTATCATTGTGTGTAGAAACATTGCAGTTTATCAACTTGTACAATCAGTGTTGCCAAGTGGCCCTTGGTCTTAAGACTGGAGCTGGATTTAGACAAATAATGAAAATGTTTCACCCAGAAGGCATCATGCAACTGAGTTTTTATATAATTAATCTGGCATCTTGTATGACAAGAAGGCTAAGAAATGCAGACATTCTCTCTAAGTATGAATTCACATTGAGCTCTCATACACCAAAATCCTTTATTCATAATTAATGTTTTCTCATTCTTATATATTTCATCTCGTGAACTTTTAAATTTTTAATTAGCAACTAGTCCATCCACAACTTAGTTTTTTTTTTTTTTCAAAAACAGATAGTACTCCTGCTTATCATAAAACAGTCTTAGAATTCAGCAGCTAGATTCCATAATACTACTATAATAAGCCTTTATATTATATTTGAGTAACTTTCCATGCATCCTATTTATATGCACAAGTATTCGAGAGCTTATAGGTCAAGCCCTGTGATAAGTACTTTGTACCCATGATCTAATATAACCCTTATAACACCTTGATGAGACGGAGCCATTTCTATACTACACATGTTGAAACCAGCACGGGAAATCAGATAACTTGCCTGCTCTTGGCCACTATGCGGTGTGCGCTGCTGCTTTGCGTTTTATGGGAAATTGCACATGGCAGACATTCAAACGTAGGCTCCCTGCCTTTATTATTAAAGGGCAAATGTGGGTAAGGAGGATAGCATGGGGCTTAAATTGTTCAATGAATTAAAAATAAACCAATCTTATTCATACCCTGCCTTGTTCTAGGAAAGGATTCTATCTAGTGGTTTCTCAGGGGGCAGGCAAGGAACAGGTGCTCAGGAATTGGAGCATCTGGAACGCAGGCCCCCACTGTACTCTGAGGGGCTTCACTCTCCTCAGACATGAAGTCATGGGACCAGAGTTTATCTCCAAGTCCCTCATAGTTCTAAACATTTTTGACAATTAAGTTAATGTCCTCCATTGACATTTTCTTAAAACCTGGGCGTTGCATAATTCTACATGTTTCCTCGTGTATAAGATATCTGTGCATAATGTGACTTAGAATATAAAAAAGGATAAACGAAAAAATAGGCTTAGATGAAAGATTGGAAAGATACACATCAAAACATTAATTCTGATTTGTCTTTGGTTATTATTTTGGGAATTACTACTTAAATTTGCTTACCTATATTTTCTAAATACTCTGCAATGGGTGGGAAATGAAAAGCAAATGTTTAGGCATAAAAATATGAGACATATCTAAATCAGAGATCCTAAAAGTAAATTTACACAATAATTGTTAAACTAAACTGAAATACAATGTATTTTAAATGACAAAAATTTTTATGGTGCTTTTATTTCCCCAAACTTTCAAGAAGTATAAAAGAGGACTCAAGAGAAACAATACTTACGTAGCTTCAGTAATCTGGGTTAAAACCAATTTAAAACGATAAAACCTAACACCAATGTAAGAGATGCAAATCTGTTCCTGGTTCTTTCCTCGGGTTCCTACTGTGACTTTCAGTAAGATGTTTTGTGTGCTGTTACTTGTAAACATGAAAGACTAAATTATGCCTTAAAATTCACTGGCGAGAGCCAGCCCATCAACCAGGTAGATTTACTGCTTTTCTTTTTTTTGGATATGAAGTCTCGCTCTGTAGCCCAGGCTGTAGTGCAGTGGTGTGATCTCGGCTTACCGCAACCTTGGCCTCCCAGGTTCAAGCAATTCTCCTGCCTCAGTCTCCAGAGAAGTTGGTATTACAGACCTGTGCCACTGCACCCGGCTAATTTTTTGTATTTTTAGTAGAGACAGGGTTTCACTATGTTGGCCAGGCAGACCTCATGTCATCTACCCACCTTGGCCTCCCAAAGTGCCAGGATTATAGGCGTGAGCCACTGCACCTGGCCGACTTACTGCTTTTCATACATATTTTTCATTTAAACTTGGCAATTATCACCTTCATTTTTGAAATGAGCTTGAAAATCAGTAATACTTAGATCCCTCTTTCCCGTGTTTCTCTAGTTCGTTTTATTTAGAGATGAGGTCTCACTCTATTGCCCAGAATAGAGTGCCGTGGTGGACCATAGCTCCCTGCAGCCTCAGACTCCTGGGTTCAAGGAATCCTCCTGCCTTAGCCTCCCAAGTAGCTAGAGCTACAGGTGTGCCACTATGGCCACTTGGCTAACCTCTAGCTTCTTAAGAAAAAAGCACTGGTGCCACCACCAGCTGGAAACGCAGCTTCCTGCTGCTCATTGTAGATAAGAATTTGATGGCACAGGTTCGTTTCATAAATGTCAGCTGAATCTGCATCACTCTTGGGCATTACCCAAAGAGCATTTCTTCTGGGAGGTCCACACAAATCCCATCATCTCACAGTCAACCTCTGAGGGTCCCTGGGCACAAACCCAAGGACCAGGTTACAGGGAGGATGCAGAAGAGTCCCCCGTTTGAAGGCATTCCACAGATCTGACAGAAAAACAAAAGGGATGGGTGTGTGTGGTGCGGCGGGGTGGGGAAGGGAGGGCGGGGAAGACAGGCACTACCTTCCGTTCTGTCTGAAAAAGTTGTCTTCAAAATCCCGAAGTTTCTTTCGGATCCTTTTCTTTTCTTCTCTCATTTCCTGGAGGTGTTCCAGGAGTTCAGGTCTAAGAGAGAGGAAGCATTGCAAGGAAATTAAGTTAAATTTGAGTTGTCATAAATATAATGAATGTGTAACTCAACAGGAGCTGTGCAGAAAGGGGAGGCAAATAAATCCAGAAACTGCTGAGGGCATTGAGGGGGAGCGGAAATGGATGTTTTCCATTTCCTGAAAGCCAAACAAGCTGGCAACAGATCCAGCTTCTGGGGGTTCCTGCTACTTGGGAATTCTTAGGCCTCGTGAAATCCCACGGCACTTTGTCGTATTTTTCTTTGAAAGAAGATGACGTCTGTGTTCAGCATGTGTTAAGTGATGGGCTGTGATGTACAGAACCACACAGTGCCATTTAGAGAGAGAACTTCTGGTTGTTTAAACAAGACTCAAAAGTTCCCTCAAATAATATGGGCTGAAGCATATAAAAAAAGAATTAAAAAAAATCAGTTTTATCCAGATACACCCCAGGTAGTCACATGTATTTTATCAGCTAATTTATTTAGATACAAAGGCTAAGATAATATTTAAGAGAGCTATTTTTACCAAAACATTTCACCGCCACCACCGAAATGACATACATTGAGGCAGCATGGAGATTCGAAAGCCCTGTGTCCTGGCTGCATTTTGATGGTATTTTATCATCCATTGGGGAAATAAAGCCATCAGTATCATCTTCGAATTGGTCCAGAAAGCATCGTGCACTGAAATCGGGTTTCAGAGTGACCATGAAGTCTGGCTTCACATTGCTATCGTCTTCTGACCCCTCCTCTTCTTCCTGGAGATACACAGCAACCCCAATAAAAATCTGGTCACTTTTTGGGGCACACTTTCATTATGAGTATCATTTAATAATCATTTAATTACCAGACCCCATAGTTTCTTCTGTATCTACATTTAGCAATACATATGTACATTACAGATATATTATTGAATATCCGTATTCAATATAAATATACACGTTTAATAACACAAACAACGTAGCCACTCAATAGAGAAAACAGACTGCAAAACTATTTTCAAATGAGTGTACAGCATGTTAATAGTTGTCAGGATGGGGTAAGAAGGAACAACCATCATAACTTATAACCTAAATCAGATGAACTAAAAGGATCCAAAATTTTCCAGCTGTGACAGTACAAAACAAAATTCATCACCAGTAACCAGTGTTTTAAAGGATTCTACTACTTGTGTATCTCAGAGGGCTTTTTAAAAAAAATCAGTCTGAACATGTTCTGAAATAAAACAATACAACCTTTCTATTTAAGAATTGAGATTAGAAAATATTTTATGGTTGCTTAATGCACAGAATTTTAGGGAAATTTTAAGAAGACTGAAACATTATATTCTCGTGATTAAAATAAGAAAACTCAAGCTTTTCCAAAGAACTTCCAAGGGCCAAAAATCTATTTTTCAGCATACAAGTTTCTAAGAAAAGTATGCTATTCTCTGTATTGATAATGCAAATAGAAAAATAATAAAGCCAGATCAGCATTTCTTAGAGCCAGTTTAAGGCTATGTAAGCCTAGGGAAGAGATAATATCAGAGTCTGAAAGATTTCAAAAGAAGTGATGTACTGCCAAAAGGTAGTCAGACCACAGAGAATAACTTACTATCCTAAAAAAATTTTAAAATTGGTTCAGAATACAGCTATATGAAAAACGGTACGCACAGCATCAGTTATTACAGGTAAACCAAATGGCTTCAATGGCAGTGCAGCAAAAAAATCTCCGGAGGCAGCTGCAGTTCCTGCTGGAGGGCAAAGTGCAAGTGTGCAAATGGTTCATGGCGAATTTTGGTATGTTTAATAATGGTGTTTCTGAAGAGAAATACTGTGAATAAACAAGCCACCAAACCAAGCAAAACAAAAAAGGACTATCATATAACTGATATCAAAGTATTGCTATGAAAATAAAATTGGCAAAAGCTAGGTGACTTTTCCAGATTGTCTCGGCTGTGACTTCAGATCTTGAGTCTCTTTAAATTGTTAAAAACATTTAAAAATTTACAAAGTAAAATTGACTTTTTAAATGAACACGCTTCTTTTTGTTTTATTAAGAGTAATAACAATTCCCATCAACACAGTTTTGATAAAAATTGAGATAATGTATGTCAGGTACCTCATAAGGCACACCTGAGACACTGGCTGTGCACATCAGTTTTCTGCTCCCTCTCTTCCTTCCCCTCCCCTGGATAAGGAAGACAGGGTAGAAGCACCTGACCATAACTCAGTGGAGGCAGGAATTGGGGCCTATCTGTTTACTGCTGTCCCCAGAGCTTGGCCAATGCTTGCATATGGCCAATAAATGGCTATTAAGCAGTCTAGTAATTCAGTTTGAAAAGAGAACTACAAAAAACTATTAGAAGAGCATAAACACCTGGGACAGCTAACGAAGTTACAAATAAGAACTTAACGGCCTTTAATGAAATCAGGTGTCTAGGTCTTATCAATTATATCCCAAAGTCCTGAGAGAACTTAAAAATGTGGAAGTCTGCCTTGCACATAGTGAGCACTCAATATTTTTTGAGATAAATGTAACAAAATTACTCTTAGGAGCCTTTGACAATCACGAGGAAAAATAGCAAACAGATTTTCAAATAAGACAATCATCGTAAGTGTTGTAGAGACTGGATAGATTCTAGAAGGAATTAATACATAGATAATATATAAGCAATTGGGAAATAATCAGTGATCAACTGATGAGACTGGTTCCTTAAAAATGAGTCACGAAAACGAACCATTTTTCCTTTTTTGATAGATGTAGTATTTGGATTTCAATAAACAACCAGGTAAGCAGACACTATGAAAGGAAAGCTGGCTGCCCACATTTCTGCTGAGTAATGACTAAAGGGTGACGAGAACCTGAAGCGCAGTCTACAGCAGCCCCTGTGCCTGACCCTGCCTTCCTCAGTATCTGAGTCACTTGGACAAAGAAAAGGCATATTCTCAAAATGTACAGATAATACAAAGCGGGTAGGGATATCTGATATGTTGGAATACAAAAGCTAGATTTAGTGTATTTCCTACAGCTGAAATAGAAGTATGAGATGTAACAAATTAGAAAAATTCAAGGCCCTCTAATTAGGAAAAAGAAAAGCTGGATACATCAGTGGCAATGCAGAAGTATACAGCAAAGTGTGAGCCATGCCAGGGCCATGAGCAGTGGTTCTCAATGGGGGTAATCTGTTCCCTCGGGGACATTGGGCAATGTCTGGAAACATTTTTGGCTCTCACGACTGGTGAAGGGGTGGTGGTGGCACACTACTGGCCTCTAATGGGTGGAGGCCAAGGACTCTGGTAAGCAACCCACAAAGCACAGGGCAGTGCTGCACAACGGTTCCCGGCCCCAAAGGTCAGCAGTGCTGAGGCTGACACCCTATCCTCAGACAGGCCAAAATAAATAACTGTCCCAATACCCTGACAGTTGCATAGGCAAGAAATTGGAGGCATGAAAAGGTCTCAGTCATCCAGATCAAGGTAAAGACGAGTCTTTGGTTCACTGTTCTGATTAACATCATATCCAGATTAATATCCAGTTCTGGGTATCAGTTTTAACAGCAACACTGATAAACCAGTGTGTGTGCACACAGCAGAGCTAGGAGACCACTGAAAGGTCTGGAACCCATATCACATAAGAGTAAGAGGAACTTGGATAACAGATTGTCATAGGGTGTGGAGTGACAGTGGGCAGGGCAGGTGACTGTAAATACAGGCAGTGCTCTCAGGGAAGAAGCAGTGTGTGTATTTCATGGTGCTCCAAAGGGCAACACTAAGCCTATGGGATAGAATGCAATAAATGGATAATAACTATGAATATTCTAATTTCAACTATTTTCACTAACTTTTTGTATTTATCAAACCTATACATTTTGTATTTATCGAACCTATACATATTATGTAATTAAGAAAGATAATTATAAAACCAATAATACAAGTTGTTAGCTATTATTGATACTCATGTAGTGAGTGACCTAACTGCTCCCATTGCTGTAAACGTTTCAAGCTTGAGGATGGAATCTCTCTGTAGGGACAATGTCTTTATTCTGCCGGAGAAGTTTTAGGGGGGATTCTTATGTTGGCTAGGAGAACTGACTACATGATCTCTAGGTTACCTTGGGTTGGAAAATCTAGGCCTTCAGAACTTGACCTGGCTCTAGTTCATATACAGCTGGTTCGCTCCCAAAAGCATTTAAAACCAGGGGTGAGTTTTGGAGAAACCACTTAGATACAATCTTATCTGCACACACACCAAATTCTAAATTGGAATTGCCAAGATTTAGTACAGTCAAAATACATTCTAATAGGCCTGGCCAACAGGAACAAAATGAACCAAAAGACAGCACTGTTTACAAAAGCAAGGTAGTCGTTGCAAAATTATCTGAAATTTTGACCATGATGTGGGCCAGGAGATAAACCACAGCCAAAATATACTTGTGAAAAAAAATTAAGCTAAAGGATAAGAATGGGAAAAATGTCTTTTATATAAAAAAGAGCATCCATCATTAGGTTATCTTCAATTCATCTAGTGAAACCATTATTAAGTGTCTATACTTTGGATGTGTTCAAGAACACATTTTTATCTAGTAATGGTTCTATTGCATGCTGCTAAGAGAAACATGCTAATTTTCATACACACAATTACCCAAATTTCTCCAATTACTGTGGTTTCATTCTTGGGTGACATTACCAGCCAGACAAAATTTGTCTTTCATTAACATCAAGCTTATTGTAAGAAAATAGCTCTAATTTTTAAAGACACAATATAGTATACTGGCCCAAATTTCAAGTACCAAGTTTAGAGCATTTTCATGAAACAAGTTCTGCTTAATACAGTGAGCACAGTCATTGCCTAATACCATACAATTAGGCATATGAAGTATTAAGATCTGCAAAAGGCAACAAAAGGAATACATAAAAGAAGACTTTGTAGCTTGTGGTGCCTTACCTCAGACAAGAAAATGGAGAAGTTCTCAACTGGTTTCCCTCAGTAGACAAGCGTCTCCCATATACTGAAATAATCATTCCTAACTATAGCATGTAAATGACCACCCCAGGCTCGGAACTGTCACAGAAATATGACAAGTGAAACTCTTAAAACTCACTTCTGCTTCAGGTTTAACTCTTGCTTTGGAATTAAATGACTGTTAGAAAAACAATCACTGATTTTTAAAAAATGATTTCCCTTGATTTTTCATCTCTAGAGTTCTGTATAAGGCAGTCCAGTTTGTTCAGTTGTCTAGAAACAAAAACATGAAAGAGGCTGATCCTAGTACGGGCCAGTTAGGGTCCCACAGAGACACGCTGGTCTATGGGCACAGATTCCATCTCCCATTCTAGCAAAAGTAGTCACTGATGACAAGGATTATCTGTACAAAATCCGTATTACTGGGAAAAAAAATCAGGACATATGTTCTGGCAGCTATCAGTCATTCACAGCACCTCATTTGTAAATTAAGAGCAGACTTTAAAATTAGTCCTGGGGACTAAATGTGCTATGAGACAGTCAAGAAGGAAAAGCTGGAAATATTGCACCCGCAAATCTGTCAAAAACTACTATTTGTAGAAGTACAATTTTGCATTGTTTTATATGTTTATATCTATTTCCTATGCTAATTTTGATTTTTCTATAAACAGTATATGAGATTCCTTTTAAAGTTGGTCTCATGAGCTAATTTAAGATTTTGGAATACAGAAAATCCCTTCCCCAAATACAGAAAACAAAACCAAACGAAAAGCATTGTGGACAACAAAACCAAACAAAATAATCCCTGAAAGCAAAGTAAAAACAAAATGAACGACAGCAAATAATACAAACAAAAAAGAGCGGGGAATAAAATAAAACCAAAGAGATCAGCTAAATGAGACTGGAGAAATCAGCACTCTTTACAGGGAACTGTTGAAAGTCGGTTATATGCAGCTACTGATTTTTAGGGAATGCTAGGAGAAGCCATCACCAAAAGGCCCAATCACACCCCCTTTCCATTCACCGGAGGGGAGGGGAGGAGGGAGGGAACTGGTGCGGATTTAGCAATGGGTTAGCAGCTGGGGTCTTCACCTTTATCTCCTTGAAGAAGGAAGCAGTTTCGCCCTCGATAATTGGCTGCAGCAAAGGGCTTCTCCGCTTGCTGGAGGGGGAACCCTGTGACAGGTGTTAACAAGTAGGTTACATTCCGAATCCCTTTCCCTTTCCCTCCAGCTCTCGGCCTCCTCTGACCTCACCAGTATTTATTAACTTTTAACTCTGCATTCTTACCCCTCCCTGCCAAACACTCCCAGGAAAACCTGAAACAACAAAAGTTTTTTTTCCAAGTTGCTGCTTCCCTTCAGCGCCCACACACATAAATCAAGGAGGACAGAGTACAGCAAGAACAGCACAGGACTGTATCCGGCAGACACGCAGAAGAAACCCGAGGAGAAACACCTGCTCCCACCGCTGCCCCCGCCAGTCACAGTAGCCACAAGAACACTTCGGCTGTAGTCAGCTAAGGAGAATCACATAAGCTCAGAAAGCAATACAAAGGGGAGCTGACTTCTCTGTTGCACGTTCACCCTACTTAGGGACACTATGGGTTCCTGCCTGGAGAATGAAAACAACTCCTTGAATCTAATCGTTTTATTTGTTAGTTTAGGACATTCCTCCAGAATACACTAAAGTGGCTTTCTTCAAATACACCTGCCTGAGATCTCTGGACCCTCCTTTCTTCATTAAATACATTGTTAAAAGAAATAGACAATATCCTAGGCCTAGAAATAAGAAGGGCATTTAAGGCCGGGCCAGACAGGAGCAGCGGCTAAAATGAGTATGTATTGCAACGGCAACATCAAAGTGAGTTTGTGTCTGCTTATTAAAGAGCCTAAAAGCCAGCAGGGGAGATGGGAGCACTGAAACAGAGGCAAATGTTTCCCCGAGAGACGGGCAGGGCAGAACACCCCACTCATAAGCTGGGGGTGGAAATGCTGAGACTGGGATGAGGGATGGGAGCAGGTGGCTGGGCCTTAAAGACTGTCCTGTCGCTGAAGGCAAGCTGCTGCTCCCTACTCTTGACAAAATCAAAATCCAGGAGCCAAAAGCAGCAAAGTTCAAGGATGGTGGCCACTGACAGCAACTTCAATGAGCAGCCTCCTTTCCTACACCTTGCCACATCCTCCAAGAAGGGCCTCTTTCTTGAGTTTCTCAGAGGATTTTCTCCCTGGACACAATTCCCAAGGGAGTTATCCCCTCTTGGATGGGAGGGACTATGAGCAGAGGGCCTTGGGACCACAGCAGTGCTCTTTGGAGTGAAGAGGCCTGGAGAAAGCACAGCCCTGCGCCCTTGGTGCTCTGTCCATCTGGCCCAGCACATCCAATGGATGTACATGCCTTTGGGGCAAAGCGTGTCCTCCAAAAGGGAAAAATAAATTCTATCAGCTTCAGATTTGCCCATTTTTAACAAATGTAGCCTCAAGGGTCTTTGATAAAGTCTTCATTCCTCAAGCTGTGAGTCATGGATACTAATGGCTGATTCAGCCACTAAAGCCTATTCTTTAATGAGAAAGCAGGTGAGGGTCCTAATTCATATATCCAGGGCCCATTCAAGCAGAAAGGTGTTGTAGCAGCCACAGGAAGGTATTCTACTCACAATGATGGGTATGGTGTTGGCTCGGGACAGGATCTGTTTGACCAGCCGGTACCTGTCATATAGTGGCTTCATCACCTGACGTTCGTTCTTTGTTACCTGAAAAGCAAGAACGAGAGCTATGAGAAGCCTGCTGCTGGGAGTCACGACCAGCTGTCTAAGCATGCTCTGGGCCTTTGTAATTCTAGAGAAACTCCAGATGATGCGACTTAAGTCTTACTACCCTCACAAAATTTATTCAAACTGATATTATTTATTCAATAAATATTCAGATTACCTACTTCAGCTGCAGATCAGTGGAAGTCACTCCATTGGTAGTACAACTTTTTCTAAATCCAAACTAGGCTCATTCTCAGGTTCCTGCTTAAAACTCCTCCAGGTTCAGAGTTCCCACATGACTATTTTCTGAGCCCAGGGAAAATGAAAGCATATATTTGCTATAAGACGTATCATGTAGGCTGTGCACGGTGGCTCACGCCTGTAAGCCCAGCACTTTGGGAGGCTGAAGCAGTCAGATCACCTGAGGTCAGGAGTTCGAGACCAGCCTGGTCAACACGGTGAAACCCCGTCTCTACTTAAAAAAAAAAAAAAAAAAAAATGGAAAAAAAAAATAGCTGGGTGTGGTGGTGGGCGCCTGTAGCCCCAGCTATGCAGGAGGATGAGGTGGAGAATCGCTTGAACACAGGAGGTGGAGGATGCAGTGAGCCAAGATCACACAACTGCACTCCAGCCTGGGTGACAGACCAAGACTGTCTTAAAAAAAAAAAGATATATCATGTAGTTCATTCACTTCTCTTTCTCCTCTATGAAATTGTTATGTTTCTAAGAACAAGATTCTGGCAAACAGTGGGTATTCAAGGAACATTTGAGGAAAAATACATGCACTGATTCATCTGTATATCCCTAATAGAATCTGGCACAGGGCTAAAAAATGTTTAAAGGACGGATTCTCCAGGCAGTGGGGAGGAATCACACCCAGCTCCCTGGTACAGTATTGGAAGCGCCTCATACTCTTTCTGCTGTTTCTCCTCCCCATCACACCTCCAGCTCCAGCAATCAAGTAGGTTGTCTCAACCTTCTTGTCTAATTCCCTCTACCCTGCCATGACTTCCTCTTTGCTCTTTTGTTTGGCAAATTCCAGATCAAGAGCCACTTCCCTGTGCAGCCTTCTTCCAACATCCCCCATTCTGGGAGACTCACCCATTCTCTCCTTTGTTTCACCACCCTGCCGGTACATACCCTGCAATTTCACAAATGCTTTTATACTCTATTGTAGTGATATGTTGACACGTGTCTCCTCCTTGAGACTGTAGCCCCTTGAGAGCAGGAGTTTATGTTTTTGTATCCCTAGTAACTATTTCAGTGCCTGAATACTTGGTGGAAATATTCCATAAATATCAAATGAGTGAATAAATGGTTCAAACATAAATAGGTGTGCCTGATTCACAAATGCAGTCCCATTGGTTACTTAAATGGGGAATGAGATGAAGCATCTTTGTTTCAAGTTAGCTGTTTGTCTCCTGCATTCTCTTACAACTTCACACATAATAAGGCAAGAGTTTTAGAGGTAAGAAAGGCAAGTAGCATTAGCTTTGACCATTTCTTTTATGGGTTGTTTGAGCCTTCAACTTCAAAGATGACTCTGGATTACAAAGAAATGGATGATCCTTTGTTGCCTTTTGTATTTGCCTTTCTCAAAGTGATCAACAGAAAGTGTGCTTTGGATAAACTTGACAAGTTAGAATAAGATCAACAAGAATAACAGCCTTTTATTTCTTGCTCTTCTGTTATCAGATAACTAACGGGCAATTGGTATTTTCTTCTTCTACTATCTACTATACCATGAGGAGTTTCATAATTTTATAAACAATGACTGTCAAAACTAGAAGGGTCTCATTATTTTACAGAAAAAGACTGAGGATCAAACCACAGGTGTCACCCGCTACACACCTACCACCCAGCTAAAATGAAGACTGTGTGCAGTGCTGGCAAAGATGTTGAACATCTGGAACTCTTTAGAAGTGAAACACTTTAGAAAACTATTTGGCAGTACCTACTAGAGCTGAACTTATGACTCGTCAATTCCACTCTTCAGTATATACCAAACAAAGGTGGCCTTAAGTTCATCAAAAGACATACGTAAGAATGTTCATTGCAGCACTGTAATCCCAAACTGGAAATAGTCCCAAACCAGAAATCGCCCATATGCCCAGTGATAGAATGAAGTATGTTCCCCAAATTGAATACTACACAGCAATGAGAATGAGTGAATCACAGCTATATGCAACATCATGGATTAACCTCATAATAATAAAGCCGAGTAAATTACACCAGACACAAAACATACTGTCAGATTCCACTTACCTAAAGGTCAAAAATAAGAAAGAGCCACAGAGTGAGATGATAGCGGTTTTTCTCTGTGGAACCTTCAGTCATGGTACTGACTGGAAGGGAACATAAGCGAGGCCTTTGGAGGATCAGCAACGTTTTGTTTTTTGATCTGGGTGCTGGTTACCTGGGTGTGTTTACTTTGTGAAATTTCATCAAGACATATGTTAATAATTTGGGCTCTTTTCTGCACTTACGTTATACGTGGTAAGCATCCCAAATCTGAAAATCCAAAATCTGAAACTTTTTGAGAACTGACATGATGCCAAAAGGAAATGTTCATTGGAACGTTTTGAATTTCAGATTTTGGGATTTGGGATGCTCAATCAGTATAATGCAAATATTCCAAAATCTGAACAAATCCAAAATCTGAAACACTTCTGGTCCCAAGCATTTTGTATAAGGGATATTCAACCTGTACTTCAACAAAAGTGCAACGATAGCCACAAAAAAGTGTGAGGAACAGAAATGAAATGATTTGTACAATGTCATATGTAAAATGACAGAATTTAGGACTGTCGGACACATGAAATAATTTTTTAAACAATATATAGAACATGTTGTAGATGAGATTAAAGTGCATCCTAATGTCAGCACATGACACATGGTGAAATATAATGTGCAAGATAAACAATAGATGGTTGAGTAACCAAAGTAAACTAAAAATAGAAATAGGAACCAGCCAGCATCCCCACTGTGAACTAGCATCCATTAGTATGTATTTGGCAGAAACATCTTTGAAAGTAAAACCAACCAGTTACGACAAATTTGACACACACCAATCTCCTTCTTACTCTTTATTCAAAAAGAAAGTTTTCTACTTGGAGGAGATGAGGAAGATCACTGGCTTAATTCTTCGGCTCATGCCATTGATATTTAGATTTTCTACAAATTGCTCATGTTTTCAATAAGTGGCCCCCAGGAACTAATCGCATGTGGGTGATCTGACAAAATCCAGTGTTTTTGACTATGGAGAGTTAAAACTCATGATTCCACAAAACCATTGTCATTTAACAGAAGCACTAAAAATAGCAAAGATCTTTAAGTCTGAGGTAAGAGAAAGGTGTAAGAATAATGACCTGATTTTTATCATAATCATTTTCATGATATATATTTGAAGCCAAAGGCTCAGTGATACTAAAAGTTAGTGCAACTTTTACCCATCATAATAACGATCAGTGCTCGGTTTGTAAGTGGGGTCAAAATTTAATCAGTAGTTATATGAACAAAGCAGGACCTTCGTTGAACTGTCAAAAAAGAGCCATTAAATCTGCCATAGGAAAACCGTTTGAGTTGACGTCTCTTATTCTTGACTCATCAGCTGCTCAGGGATTCTGCTGCCCACCAAGAACAGGGCTCTGAATGAGCTACTGAAATCCTCTCAGGCTCAGTTTTCTGAATGGTAAATTGCAGAAATCAAATTAGAAAACCTTTATGCTTCCTAATTGCTTGGAAATGACTTTAGGCCAGGCATATAGTATATTCTCTCTTCAAAGTACTTTCACTCCTCTGTCTTCAAAACTTTATCTAAAGTGATAGTGCTGAATGGTCTTCCAATATGTGGAACTAGGGTTATCCGGAAGACGTATTTTTGCACATAAGTGAAACAACGTAAATATCCAGATGTGAAGATCTAAGGGGAGAATGCGGCACTTCCACTCCGTCTTTCCTTAATGATTCAAATAAATTGTCATTTACTGGTCTCTTACTACCCTATTTGGTTGCCCCGTAAGTTTCGGATATTTCAAAACACAAAGGGAACACTAGCCAACAATTATCCACATTTAATTAATGGCAAGTCTTGAACAGAAATCATAAAGGCCTGATTAGGCAGCTGCATTTGTCTGCCTTTATCTTTTGTGATGGTTTTGGTCTTAGCCTCAAATAAAACTTCCTTACTGCAATATCAGTTTAGTTGCTGTTACCTGACAAAACCACAAAGGTGAAAGGTAAAATGATGAATGTATTTACTTTAAAAATAAAGATAAATTAGAACTATGAAATATTAAGAGCTAGAAAAGCCTTATTTTTTAGATGATAAAATTAAAGCACCAGAGAGGGTAATGATTTGCTCAAGGCCACAGAGTTGGGTCCAGATCCGAGGTTTATGGACTTCCAGTTGTTTTCTTTCACAAATAAGAAGTAGGATCTTTAACTGTGATGATTTTTGGATTCGGAATGCTCAATCAGTAGCACGTCAATACAGCATAAAGGATATAGTGCTGTCAATATAGCACAGAGATGTAGCATTATTCTCTAATAGGGTTTGGCCAAGCTGCCTTCATAATGAAGAACTCTGCCTTCCAAGCCGAGAGTTTGCCTATATTGAATTTACAAAAATTTGTGCTTATGAACAGTGTCACAGAAACACAACTTTGTGAGAAATTATGTCATAGACAAACTATGTGGCCTCAGACTCTCCTTGATAAAACAAGAAGTACTTTGAGTTTGTGTGTGAGGGGTATACCTCTGAATCATCAAACTGCTAGAAGGAGAAGACAAAATAAGATGGATTCTTATAACTGTTGCATTCTTGGCCTATTAATTTGAAAAATGACAACTCTCTCTTCGTTATCAGGTAATCATAAGAGACTGTAAAAAGATCAGAAAATCCAAAACAGCAGTTAGCCAAAGGAGAATATTTATAAATGGCTCCAGAATTTGCATTTAAATTTGAACGTGGCTGTGTCTAGGGTCCTCAAGGTTTAAAAACACACAAGACTAAAATACTCCATTGAGGAAGAACCAGAAGCTCTGATCAGGCAACCCATTCTCTCCCCTCTGTTTATTATCAAATAGTGGGATACACAGACAGTAACACAGTGACATGTAGTTATTTACGGCACTTCTGTGACATGCTCTTTTGATGAGAAGATTCTTAAATATTGAAAAGGACACACTTTAATAAGAATAGGGAATTATATGCCTGTGTAGACATGAGTGTTTTGTTTTTATATATGTGTAAGTCTGCAGAGTGCCCTGATAAAGCAAACAGCTTTGCTAAAAATGTACAGAAGCAGCTGATTACAGTTTCGGCCTAAGATTTTACTAGTTAGTGCCCTTTTAAATCAGTACCTGTAGACTCAGAAAAAATCCACTGAATTCTGAGCACCTGCTTTTCTGAACAATTGGGGTTTGGAACAATAGTTTCACTCTGGAAGTTAAGAAAAATACCACATGGTATTTACAGTCCAGAGTCCATGGTAACACCAGAAATCTAAGAATTAAAAGTTTACGCTTTGATTTGTTTTTCGGACTGGCCAGATATCAAATGAACTCTGCTTTTCCTGAAGAGGTTGGAGCATCACATTCCAAATAGAGAGAGGCAGAGAGTTTGGCACGGGACCAGAAATGAATGATGCTCAAATTTCCTACAGCATTTGTTCCCCACCCTATGAGATGCTAGCATCCAGACCCACCTGAAAGAGTGATGAAAGGAAATAAGGCAGGGCCAAGAATAATAGTTCATATTCTTAATAAGAGGGCTATGAAATGCACATTCTTTTGCCTGATTTAATCACTTAATCAGAAGGAGGCTACAGAGAGTAGAACATGTAATTGTAACAGAAGTGAAAACTATCATTTACTGTGCAAACCCAGTAACAGCCACCCCACCCCACTTCCTCAGTGGCAGACATCCTACAGGTAAATATACACAGATAAACGTCTGTGTGTGTGTGTAATATCATTTCATCTCCTTGGCAATTTATAACAGGTATCTATTATATAGACAAAGCACCAAGGCTCTGAGAGGTTACCTAAGCAGCCCAGTGTCACAGAGATCATCTCAGTGGGGCTGGTTTTGAAGCTGGGTCTGCCAATTCTATGTGTTTGACCCAGTCCAGACTGATTGAGGGAATCTGTTCCCAACTCAGAGCAACAAATACTACAGCACACAAAATACTCAACTGGTAGCAAGGTTAAGTCTATCTAGAACACAGCTGTGAGCTCCTAAGGGCCTTGGGCATGGAAGTCCTTAAAGGTGTCTATCAATGTCATAACCCAAATCCACAGAAGGAAAAGAGGAAATGTTAAAGAAGGAAAACACACCTTCTCCATGAGGCCTGCCATGCGGCTACACAGAGATCTATACTTTAGGGTTCTGAGCCTATTGTGGAGAAGGAGCATCTCTCTGATAAAAGAAGTTCACTTCTTCCTCTACACATTTTGAACATTCCAGTGAAGAAGGAGAAAGTTTCACAGCGTATTTGAGCTCTAGAGCATTTACTATTTGGTTCAACGCCTTCAAAAAAATCCCACACAAAGCTTGGCTGAAGCATGAACATTATCCCAGAGTGTCAGTATTTTCCACTGCAGGGACAGGCCAGCAGAATAAATCATCATCAGTGCCAGCATTTTTTTTTTTTTTTTACATTTAAACCTGATAAATTCAGAATAAAATGCCACCAAGGAGACATTCTACAGATAGTTATTGGACCTGTGTCATGTGTCAGGTCTGGTGCTAGACACTGAGGACTGGGGTCACCACTAGGGGAACAAAGCCCAGAATCCTTGCCCTCCCACACCTTAGAGTCTAGGGAATTATTCTGGAACCTTCTTTATTTAAAAGAGCGTATTTTAGATGAAAAGACTATCATATAGTCATGGACAAGACTGAAAAAGAGATCTATACTTTTTGGCTATGTAAAAATAATCAGTGAACCTAAACTTCATGCTTCCTTATACCTGCTTTTAAGAATTTGTTTTGTTAGGTCTCTAACAACATTATGAACAAAAGGTTATTAAGAATGACTGACAAGAAGGGTGTGTGATGAAAAGTTCTTCAAGGAAGAGAGCAGAAGCCTATCGTGCTACCGCTTCCCCCACAGCTAACAACAAACATTCCAGCAGTGCTTGCTGAACAGCAAGCCACCGCAAATGCTTCCGTGATTAGGAAAAGGCAAAGCCATATTTTGGATTCCTCACACTTCTAGTTCTGAATGGCAGCTGGAACTTCTTTACAGACAAACACTAGTTGCACTGCATTGCAGAGAGATTGAATTTTAAGGTAGATCATTCTAGTTTAACACCTTTCATTTTATGGATGAGGAAGCCTACAGTCAGTGACAGCTTATCGGGGGAGACCTAGGGACAGGGAAGTCTTCAAACTCCAGGGGTCTTTACGCCCTATACTCTGCCCCCCCAACCCCTGGCCCCTCCACCATTCCTTCCTTTAAAGCTGTACATTAATGACTAAATTTTACTTGCAAACAAATTTTTCATTGGAACCCAATTAAGTTCAACATCTACTAGATAGAACTTTCTTATTAGCTAAGCCTTCAGAAAGCTTAGTTATGGTGTAAATATATAGTAACCTCCTTTATCCTAAAAGTAAAGAAAGCAGACACTAGGGAACCCCATTTGTAAAATACTGAACATAGAAAATCCATTTCTAAAGCCAGATAATTGACTCCAATCAGAAAATTTACTACATCACATACCGGCCGTCCATGAATGCTTTCATAATATAACAGAGCTTTCTGCAGAGCCACTTTCTCATTAGCAATCTGGTCTTTGGTCATATCCTGTATAAACATAGGGATAGAGAATTGAAAGAGAGGAAAATGTTTGTGAACATTCCAACTTCTTTACTTAAACACATTCCTAAAGCAAGGCTAAAAAGATTCCTCATATAACAGCTCTCCCTAGCTCTATCCAAAGTTCATTTAGTAATGGGCTATTCCTGAGCTCTTGGGAGAAATATGACCAGCACAGCGGAATCATCAGCCACTTGGATCTCCCACATGGCAGTAAAGGTACTGTGAACACTGAGGTAAGCAGGGCTGTGAGGCACATGGGGCTTAGCTTAATGGCCCAAGCAATGACGACAGTTATATGTTACACAGTCCCAAAGGTTTGTCTCTAATCCTTCTACCTCAGAGAGTCCCAAAACCAGCTATTAACCTAAACAAGTTCATTCTGTAACCTATACAATAGAGTTTTGTTTTCAGTCTGTAGTCAAAAACCAAAGCACCCACAGTTAACGCACTCTGCAGTGGTTTCATCAGCTTCTCTAGACACTTAACAGCCTGGAAGGCTTAACAAGGCATCACCTTCCTACTGGGATTCGCATGGCATGCCCTGTGTCCCTACCACATTGACTGGGGCTTAGGACTTCACAGAATCATCGCACCTTAATGTCCTCAGGACGGCTGCTTTCCGCTCGCTTCTCCTGGAGCTTCCTCTGAATAGATTCCAACGTGGCTTCAACACTGGGCTTTATTGCTTTATCTACCAGCTCTTGCTTCTTCTCATCTTCTTTCTCAAGCTGGGAACCAAAACTCTTGGGAAGTGTGTTGCTTCGCTGCCGCATCCTGGGAGTTAGGTCCTCTTCAGATATCTTTAGTTTTGACTCTAGTTGAGAAGATTTTGGGGTAGAGATATGAGATTTGATGTCTGCCCAACACAAATTATTTTTCTGTAGTGTCAATAACTTATTCTGTCTTTTTTCAGAGAGTATCTAGTTACAGTATCAGTAGAAATCCCTGAATTATTATGTAAAACCTGAGCTAATGGTAACATCTTCTTTGATTACATGGAATGTTTTCCTAACACTAATTGCTGAGAAAGCTTTAGCCGCATCTGCCTGTATGATGTTCTCAGAATGTGGCATCCGTGTTCCTTCAGTGGTTAAAGGTATTTACTAATCTAATGCCTAACCACTGGCCAACCTTTTCTGTATGACTTACATACTTTATTCTGAAATTAGGTTCCTTTATATTCTATTCAGTTGTTTATATGACCGTGTCTCTGAAAAGATGGGAATCTCTTTGGGGGATGAGGGCCAAACGCTTTGCAGATTCATCTCCGTCTACTTGTTTGCTTCTACCACCACAGCAAATGGAGACTTGGATTAAACAGGTGTTTGAGAGATGTTGACTTGAAACTATCATCCTTTCTATTAGTGATCTAGGGAAATGAAGAAATGCTGCAGGATTCGCCTCTTAGCTGATCTTGTTTCCCTATGACTGAGACCATGCAAAGACCTGGGGCAGTGGTCACTCTGAATAGCTGAGAGTGCTAGGAAGCATCTTTAAGGACCCTGGAATGCCTTAGCAGTGGCAGTCAGTGGGAGAGGAGGTGAGAGACTCTGCACCTGGCTTGTTGTACAGAAGCCACAGCTCCAGAACTTTACCCACCTTTAAGTTGTCTCCGGAATTTGGCAAGGTCATTTGTCCATTTCAGAACCTCTGCATTGGCTGCTTTGTCACTGTGGGAAGGCTGAGAAAAGGAAGTCTAGAGTAAATGCTTGGGAACTGGAGCAGGGAAAAGAAGTGTTTGATGATCATTTTTGTTTTAAATAGGAAGGAAAAATTGAGCCCCATCAGAATAAGAAATTAAACACAAATGTAATTCCATTATCCTTTCCATTTGGTTATTTTGATGCTTTCAAAAAATTCCTCAGAGGCAAAATGCATCTTTATGATCAGGGACTTCTGTGAGGTCCATGACCCCCTTGCCATTATTTGTAGGGTTCAACCTGTAAGGCAAACAGTGTAGAAAACAGAGGGGTGTATGATGTTTTGCTCAGCAACCATCATGAAAATGCCTGTTTGCCACTCTTGTGGGAAATATTGAGTACAGAGCTGACAGCAGAACGAGCTCAGTGCTAACGAGATTTCAGAAGATAATATTGAATTAAATTTTAGTCAAACGATTTCATTCAACAATTTCTCCAGCTCCTGCTTACTGATTAATTTATAAAATGTAGATTTAAACTTTCATTTTTTTTCAGTAAGAATGCACTTGTGCAAGAAAAATGCTGACACATAATGATTGGGGTTTATCAGGGTGTACTATCCAGGGTTTACTGCCTTTTTGTTGTAAGATTCCCTAGAAGTCTCCCTTAACCTTTCGTTGTTTCTTTGAGTTGTTGAAACACTGGCATGTCCAGGGAAAGAGGGAGGTGAAAAGAACAGTGTGAGGGGACACTTACTCTGTACTTCTTCTCTTCTTCAAATCTATCTTCAAACTTCCGGATCTTCTTTTTAAGGCTCTGAATCCTTCGTGTGAGCTGGGCAGGCGTCAGGTCCTCTTGCTCATCATCGTAGGACCCCAGAGAGGAGCTTCGCCGCCTGGGAAGAGTACAACTTGGGTCAGTTTCCCCAGGAGCAGTCACTGCTTGGCGAGAGGGGCCCTGGGGAAGTGCGACACCATGTGGCGTGTGGTGGTGGGGTGGGGTGGCAGCGTGAAGACCAAACAGCCTCTCTCCTCTTGAATAAAAGACACTTGACTGATCCATTGGAGCGCGGTATGTCCCACCTATTAAGTATACTTCTAAGCTTTTCTAGCTCACATTTATAATTAGCAAAGTAGGACTGAAGTCGACCTTTCCTGTGGGCCTAAAAGAGCTGAATTGGAGAGTGCTTTGGAAAGGAGGTGCTAAGAAAATTCAATATGTGATGTTGCAGTTGGGCCACAGCACAAATGGGAAACTGCAACACGGCCTGTGTCCTAGGATGGAGAATTTCACATATGTTGCTCCATAGGCTCACGACTTAATTAAAAAAACATTATTCGCTATCAGTGCCATTCCTATCTTTTCTGATGTTGTGGGGATGATGCATTTACCTATCGGCAACACAGAAACATACCTCATGAAAGAATGGGAGTTTGGTGGGGAAGGAGGCACTTCCGTGTCATCCAGGTATTGTCTGCTCTGCCCATAAGCGTAGAACCGAGGAGAGAGCATGGGGTCGCTGTCTTCGTCCAGCAGCTGACGGATCAGGCGCCCAGCCTGCGGCGAGAGGCGGGCTTCATCAGAGTCACTGTTCTCCCGCTGCCAGGAGGAGAAAGCAGGGATAGGCTCTGGAAAATAAGGGCAGTAAGAGGTCAGGACTGTTCCTGAAAGAGGGCAGGGTTGTTCTTTATAACACAAGTGTTTCCCAGGCTTCCCAGATGCTTTAGGAAGCTGCCCATTGAATCATTTCTCATTTTACAGCTAAGGTCTAGACTAAGGACACTGTGCCCCAACTGAAATCACTAACGTGTCTGACAGCCATCATCTATCTACCTCTCATTTCCATTCCCACTGGCTTTCCAAAGAGAATTTGCTAAGGCTACCCTGGGGAGGAGCCTTGAAGGGGGAAGCCCAGTCGATCAGTGACAAAACTCTTCCACCTGATGGCATCATTGAACAGAAAATATGCACGCCTGCAATCCCAGCACTTTGGGAGGTCAAGGCAGGCGGATCACCTGAGGTCAGGAGCTTGAGACCAGCCTGGCCAACATGGTGAAACCCCATCTCTACTAAAAATACAAAATTTAGCTTGGCCTGGTGGCGGATGTGTGTAATCCCAGCTACTCGGGAGGCTGAGGCACGAGAATCGCTTGAAGCCAGGAGGCAGAGTTTGCAGTGAGCAGAGATAGTGCCACTGCACTCCAGCCTGGGTGACAGAGTGAGGCTCTGTCTCAAAA